CAGAAATTTATAGATGTTCAGGGTTCCTTTTATGACTGATTTAAACATCATTTAAATACATTAATTCAGGAACAAAATTCGATTGTAAAATCGGAAATTATTTTAAGAAAACCTCGTAATAGGTTGTTAAATATATTCGTTCGTTTTTTCTTCTGATTTTCTGCAAATAATCTCGAATAATAATTTTTTGCTGAAATTTTTTGCTTCTTAATAACTTTAACATCCTTTGAAACAGTTGTCGAATATTAATGAAATTTTATTTCAGATTAGACACTCCTTTGAAATGGATTGCAAACTAGGTAAGAATCAACATGTTCGACATCATTTTCTCTTTGAGTTTGATCAATGTCACTGTTGTGGTGTCCTCCGTCTAAAGAGTCTATATTGGACACTTGCGCCTACTATAAGATTAGTAGGAGAGAAGGCCTTGAGGGAATAGTCGACCAGATTGTTCATCTGTCGAACTCTCTGCCTTGAGCAAAGTTTTGTCCGGGGAGGTAAACAGGCCCTGGATCCGTTTATGTGGTTTCTAAGGGAATATTTTTGGCCGAGCCTACGGACTCGGAGAACACACACTAAACTCGGCCTTGTGCCACATACATCCCTCGTGGGGGGGGGGGTAAATATAACAGTCGAATAGATCTGTTCGGACTGTGCTGTCGAACTCTATGTCTTTGGCCGAGAGGAACCCGGACGAGGTTTGCCGAAGGGCAAAGTTTCGTCCGGGGAGGTAGACAGGCCCTGAACACGTTTATGCGGGTTCTAAAGGATTTTTTTTTTCCGAAATTACGGGCTCTGAAAACCCACTGTAAACTCGGCCTTGTACCACATACATCCATCGTGGGGGTGGCGCTGTTAAATATAACGGTCGAATAGATTGAACGCTGGGTCAACCGACACGTACTCACTAGTCGTGTAATGCTCTTCTGCTGTACTTACTGTTTAATATATGATATATCTGCAACAATTGTTTTGTTATTTCTTTATCTATTTACTTGTCCACAACAGTCACAAACCTGTCAAAGCTGCTCGAGACATTTGTGCCATATGCGAAGATGACTGTCTTTCCCGTTTCAAAGAAGGGAAGTCGAACTCACAGATGCTGTCATATATATTGTGGTGCCCCCGCTGTTCGTCTTAAGGTCCTCGACAAAATCCAGAGAGGGGTATGCAATGTCGGCCCTGATCTGGAATCTCGTGTACAGTCACTACCTCACAGACGCGCCATCGCCTCCTTCTGTCTTTTCTACAAATACTTTCACGGTAACCGCTCCGGCGAGCTATTTTCGCTAGTTCCCAAACTGCATGAATTTAAACTTGTTAGCTCAGTCCCACACTTTCACTGTCAAAACGGTTAAATGTGTCCGTCTCTTCGGCTTCAATAGTTTCATGTCTCGCACCTCCCGCCTGTGGAATTCCCTTCCTATTACCTGCTTCCTTAATAGCTATAGTCTACAACTATTCGAATGCAATGTCAAACGACATCTCCAGGTGCCTTGATCTATTCCCCGTCCTTCTCTTCATCCTTTCCTCTATCACGCCTCTTTACTCTTGCTCCCACTTTCTGTAACCCCTTGAATGCTAGTGGCACTCCCACCTTGCTTGGGGTGTGTTGAAACTTGAATAATGCATGGAATAATAATACAACACAAAATGTACTTAGAACAAAATGTATTGAAACAAGAAAGTGTACACAATATTTACATATAGTCTTTTGTATGTTCCTGGGAAGACCGTTCCTGGAGAATGTGTTGACTGAGTCGAAGTCGGGCAGAGTCTCTGGATTGAATCTCTTGATTCCTTCACTTCTCTTCCCGGTACCAACCATATTTATATGGTCGGTACTCCACTATGCAAATTAGGTGGATCCTACCACAACAGGGTGAAAAGCTTTAAAAAAAAAATCTGGGTTTTGAGCGTTCTGTTCAGTTTGAAGAGAACAAATTACGCGCGTTGATGAAAAAATAACCGCGTCAGACCACTAGAGAATTGTCACAGAAGATGACAAGCTGTCATCTTACTACCGGTCATCATTTTCACTCAGTAGGTAAGGCCCAGAAACACGGTGCATGTGTGCCATACGCATTCACTGAGGAAAACAACCTCCAGGAGCTCCTCCATTCGCCCTACAAAATGCATTAAAAGCTTCGTTGGCGTCCAAAACACTTAAAGAATAAACTTCGAAATCGTCGGCAGAAAATGTAGCTGATTTAGGATCTGCTCAGTGATGATGGGATGCTACTAGCTTGGTTTGGAGGTAATGAATGAATATTGATGAATTGATGAAAAATTCTTCCATTTATATGTGTGAGCTCGCTCAAAGGAGACATCAATTGGCATGCTCAGATCATCAATGTAGATAAATGGATACGAACAAAATGAAATAGATAGATAGATAGATAGATAGGGAGAGAGAGAGAGAGAGAGAGAGTAAGAGAGATAGATGAGAACAGAATGAGATAGATTCTCTCAAATGAGATAGATAGATAGATAGATAGATACGAACAGAATTCGATCGATCGATAGATAGATACGAACAGAATTAGATAGATTCTCTCCCGAGATAGCTAGCTAGCTTGCTAGATAGACAGATAAGAACATAGAGTCACATAATATAGATTCTCTAAAATGAGATAGATAGATAAGTAGATAGATACAAACAGAATTCGATCGACCGATAGGTACATAGAAAGTAACATAATAATATGGATTCTCTAAAATGCAATAGATAGATAGATTGTAACATAGAAATTGACATAATATAAAGATATTTTCTAAAATTATATAGATAAATAGATAGATATGAACACAATTCGATCGATGCAGCCATAGATAAAAAGTAATGATATAAATCCTCTAAAATGAAGTAGATAGACACGAAGAGAATAAGATAGATTCTCTCAAATGATAGATAGATTGACAGATAGAATGTAACAGGAAACAAAATAATAATATACACAGATTATCTTAAATGAGACAGAGAGATAAACATGAACTTAATTCGATCGATCAATGGATAGATAGATATAAAATAACATAATGCAATACATATATTATCTAAAATGCGATAAATAGATAGATAGACATGAACAGAAGTCTATCGATCGATAGATAGATAAAAAGTAACATAATGATATTCTAACATAATGATAGATTCGCTAAAATGCGATATATATATATATATATATATATATATATATATATATATATATATAGATAGATAGATAGATAGATAGATAGATAGATACGAACAGAATGAGATAGATTCTCTCAAATGAGATAGATAGTATCATAGAAATCAACATGATATAGATAGTTTCTCTTGGATGAGATAGATATAAAATAACATAATAATACAGATAGAATCTTTAAAATGTGAAATATATATATATATATATATATATATATATATATATAGAGAGAGAGAGAGAGAGAGAGAGAGATGAACAGAATTCGATCGATCGTATGATAAATAGATAGAAAGTAACATAATGATATAGATTCTCTAAAACGCGAAATATAGATACGAACAGAATGAGACAGATTTTCTCAAATGTGATAGATAGATAGATAGATAGATAGATAGATAGATAGATAGATAGATAGATAAATGTAACATAGAGAGTAACATAATATTGATAGATTCTCTAAAATGCGATAGATACGAACATAATTCGATCGATAGATCGAAAGAAAGTAACATATTATACATAGATTCTTTAAAATGCGATAGACAGATTCTCTAAGATGCAACAGATAGATAGAAAGATACAAATAGAATGAGATAGATAGATAGATAGATACGAAGATTTTATAAATACTCTAAGAAAAGACTAAATTAAAAACACTGCTAAAATAGGATTTGTTTGTCATGAGTTGGCAAATCTTTATACTTTTTTTTCTGTCGGTATGGAGAGGTTAATCATTGATTGAACTAGATGTATTTGTAAGATACTGAATCATTTAAGAAAATAGAGGCGAATAGATAGATAGATAGATAGATAGATAGATAGATAGATAGATAGATGAGAATCAACTGAGACAGATAGGTAGATAAGAATCAACTGAGATAGATAGATAGATAAGAATCAACTGAGATAGATAGATAGATAGATAGATAGATAGATAGATAGATAGATAGAGAGATGAGAATCAACTGAGAGAGATAGGTAGATAAGAATCAACTGAGATAGATACATAGATAGATAAAAATCAACTGAGATAGATAGATAGATAGATAGATAGATAGATAGATAGATAGATAGATCTCAACTGACTGTTATAGCTATGAAAAGACTAGAACGGAGAGAAAATCGATACGTAAATATTAAGAAATCGTCACATATCTATCAATTCCTTTGTTACATGCATGCCCGTTTTTTTCGTCTTTGTTCAGGTCTAATCCAATTCGCCATGAATGAATCATTCCTCTTTGACTCATATCACAGATTCCCAAATTTAATAGTCACCATATGCGGACTAAACTTCAATTTACAAGGATTTTCTCGTAGAAAGAATCCAATTCCTTAAAGAGAATCCGATCGATATACGTTGACAGATTTCTTGGATTCGTTATACTCAGAATCCTTCATATGCCACATTCATTTCTAACCATCATTCTGTTTCGTATCACAGAAATCTTATTCGGTTTATTAGGTGTATTGAGTAACGAGCAACTTGTCACATCATTCTACTTCCTAACAATATCAATATAATATCCTAGACACATTGTCCAATCCCTGGATCAAAGAGGTGACCATGCTTGATTCGGGAGGATGCTGTTCCCAGTCCCGGAACTTTCTTGCATCTTTGCAGCCACGTTGTATTTGTTCGGGAAATAGGTGATGTTGTTGCAATCAAAGACTTTCCTGACCTCAAACTGACCGTTCATCTCCAAATTTGTTGCGATGTTATGGTACCTTTGGGAAGTTCTGCAGCCCGAAAAATTCCACGCTTGTTAGAATACTTTTTACTTCACTTAATATATAATTTCCTTTCGT